TGTCTCGATCGTAGACGAACTAATTTACGGTACGTCTTTTTCGGAAACATGCGGTGCAGTCAAGAGACGGGAGTGGAAATCGAATGAAAAGGAAGTCAAGAAAACAAAAGGACCGTGATTATAATAAACCCGGAGTCGCAACAATGCGTGAATCCCGATGTTTTACGATACGCAACGGTTCTTTGATTTTTCAGACGAATTGCTCTTTTTTGTTACTTTTGGAGCCCCTCCTGCCGTGCCGGGGAAGAACGCCGTATGAACATTCAAGAGTTGCCAAATTTCCCTTGATAAAATAAGTATTTTTGACAACATTCATGCATATTTCGCCTTGAAATTTTCAGATACTTTAGATGAAATTGCGTACAAAATTATCTGAAATTCCTGGAAAATAATATTCACAATAATCCCAGTAATTTCGGTTTTTATCGGAGGAAACTTGGCAACGTCTGAAGGCTCACACGGCGTTCTTCCTCAGCACGGCAGCCTAGGACTCGAGCATCTGCGTGCCGCCAAAGTAGGCGAAGGGGCGCGTTTTCGGAAAAGCGGTGAGGACGTGTGGTTCTCGAAAGTGGTGACATGGTGTCTTGTCAACTACTCAGCAGACATGTTCAAGTTACCCCTTATAAACTGCGGTCAATCTAGTCGCGCAATTACTTTTCCCGGAAATTTATTTGGTTTTAAGGGAGCCAGAGCTTATATTCCTTCGCTTATTTCTCGTTCTTTTCCCAATTCCCTCTCTTCCTTTCCGCTTAGTCTTTATCTACAGCTATGTCTATCAATTTCAATAATCAGTTCGCTACTCCTTTTCCTTCGCTAATTTCTCCTTCTTTTCCCGACCTCATCACACCATTTCCTCTTTGCCTTTGTCTATAGCTCTGTCTATCGATTTCAACAATCAGTCCACTGCTTCTTTCCCCTCGCTAATCTCTCCTTTCCCGATTTTCCCACTCCATTTCTGCTTTGTCCTTGTCCACAACTATGTCTATCAATTTCAATATTCAGTCAGCTGCTTCTTTCCCTGCGCCAGTTTCTCCTTCTTTTCCCGATTCCCTCACTCCATTTCCTCTTCGTCTTTGTCTATAGCTTTGTCTAAGTCCGCTGCTTCTTCCCCTCGCTAATCTCTCCTTCTTTCCCGATTCCATCATTCCATTTCTTCTTTGTCTTTGTCTATAGCTATGTCTATCAATTTCAATAACTCCGTCCGCTGCTTCTTCCCCTCGCCAATCTCTCCTTCTCCCTCGATTCCATCACTCCATTTTCTCCGCGCGCATCGTCGCTCGACAGCCCGTCGCGACGCACGGCTAGAAACTGAACTGCATTCAACGCACGCGCTACGGGGGTCCTCAGGGATAGCCCGCGGTAGGGAGGGGGGGGGGGGGTGTTGGAGTGCGGTGCCGGGCACTCGAGGAGTTGCAGGCGCCGGCCGGGAGGAGGGGAGTCAACAAACTCCAATTTATTCTTAAATTATCTCGAATGACCTACATTAGCACTTGCACTTTCAATGCCGCCATGGCTAACATTGCCCGAGCGAGTCCAACGTGCCCGGTGGGGACGACGCGACAACGAACGCTTCCCGGGGCCCGAGCCCCCCCCCCCCCCCCCCCCCCCNNNNCCATCGCACAGCGGATCGAGCCAATCAGAGAAGTCGGACGTAAAATTTTTGACCAATTTCAATGTTAAATTCGCTACATTTTAAAGTTTGAGGTGTGTTCTTAGAAGAAAATTTCACGAGAAAACCAAAAGGACCATTTTCAAAATCCCAAAGTTTTGATTTAACGGAGTTGTGAGCTTTTAAAGTTTCCGAATTTTGTCCGACCTCCCCCATTTACTCGATCCACCGTGCGTCGCACGCACTGGAAAAAAAAAAATTGGATCTAGAGTCCAGACACTTAAAAACATCGACAAGAAAAAATACTCTTGATTCAATCGAATTTTTGCTTAAATTAAGAACCAAGCCTCTTAATTTGAGCGGATTTCCTTATGATTTAAGCAAAAATTTGATTGAATCAAGAGTCCTTTTTCTTGTCAATGTTTTCAAGAGTCTGGACTCTAGATCCAATGTGTTTTTTTTTTTCCAGTGTAGATGATTTTTTATACATATGAGTAAAAGTGGCAATCAATAGAGACAATGTCAGGAATTTTCTCATTTTCAGCTTTACCCTCTTGAGTTCTAAAATTTTTGTTTGAGGTTATGTTCTATTGTTTTGAACCGAACGATACATCGAACCACTATCGAATACGATTCATGGCAACTCGACAATCGACCCGGAGCTCGCCAAATCCGGCAACAAAATCGGGAGACCGTTGACCCAGGATGAGCCACAGTCACCAACTTTTCGAATCGCGGCTAATTTCGTGAATTATTGCGCGCTTGCCAAGTCGCGCGCATTTTCCGCGAGAGAAGTTCGGGGAAATGCGAAAATTCCGAACGATCTGGGAGCGACGAAGCTGCCTCTTCTGTTTTCCTTGTTCGGTGACGCGATAAAGCCACGGGCAGCCGCGCTGCTCTGCTGCTCCCGCGGGTCGTAACGCCTTCCGAAAGGAGATTTAGTAATTTGGCCTGGGCGTGCAGCATGTGTTGCTGGTCGAAGTTTTGAAGGCGTTTTTAGTACCGGGCGCTTCAATCGAAGAAGTCTTTCGAATCTGTGGGTGCCTTCACTACGGTAAATGGAATCGGCTCAATTTCCACACTTTAATCTGGACTTTACCTAGCAATTAGGAACCATAAATTCTGGGTTATCCGAAAAAACACGTATGTGCATAAGGAAACTGATGGTTCATGCGTTGTTTTTATGTTGAGTTAGAATCTGTAGTTCCTAATTGCAAAATGTAGTCAATCTGATGATACGTTGTTTCCCCGACAAAGATTGTAGCTACTCTAATCGTTTTTCCACCAGAGAATATTATTCTTGGTCTGGGATGATGTTGGATTGATATCCTTGTAACGAACCGATGTTTTCAGTGAATTGTGTAACCGAGTGTGTGAAATTAGTTTAGCGTAAAAAAAATTAGTGAATTCGAGAGTCGCCTAATGTTTCTTGATAAAACAAGTATTTTTGACGAAATTTATGCATATTTTTCCCAGGAACTTTCAGATATTTCAGATCAAACTACGTACAAAATTGTTCGGCAGTTTCGGGAAAAAATATTCGTATTTTTCCCAGCAAATTCGGTTCTTATCGAAAGAAATTCGGCAACGTCTGGAGGCTCATACGGCGTTCTTCCGTAGCGCGGCAGCACTCGTCGCGCGGTAAGTCTGGATCGCACCAGTGCGCCTTCAATTCCACGCGCGGCAACCGGCGATACACCACCTCCCACTCCATCCGCGGAGCCGAGCCGCCGAGCACCGCACCGTTATCCCATGACCGGGTTTGGGGGTACCGTTACCTCGCCGAGTTCCCCCCCCCCCTTACGTCACCACACTCCGTTACGTCACGGTGACGTCACTCGGCTCCTCCGCAACTCCGTCCGCGGTCCGTTATATCATGGTTTATTACGGATCTTCCTCGTTCCTTGCCGCGTTGCCGCCCCGCAGCTAAAATCTACTCTCGGCTCTGGGTTTTGCGGTGATTTCTACCACGATTTGGCGGCATCGTAGCGCCGTTCGTTTCTCATCTCATCTCCCGAGATGCCCGGCCTGCGTTTTACTGTTACTCTGTTAATTCGTCGTCCGCCTGGCGCAAGGGCGTAACTGCACCGCACGATGGAGCCTGTCGCCCGTAAGCTTTAATGCTGTTCCGGGCTCGTCTCAATGCGAGTTAAGTCGTTTTGTCGCTCAGTCGCGGATCGATAATTTTTTGTCTCGTTCCTTGTCCCATTGCCCCGTCGCCCGCGGCGTTGCACGTCCGGGACGGCTTAACGGAAGAAGAACGTAAGACCCCAGGGGTTTCATCAGTGGCGTGGCATGCTTTGCGATTTATCGATTGATCTGTCATGTATACCTATGGAAAAGGATCGAGATATCCTCTCTATTTTAATAAAATCATTTTGATGACGCTCGATGGGCTGGGGTGAGGAAGGGGAGTTCAAAGTCCGTAAGTAGGAAATCTCCGTGAGTGGAGTCCCGTCCGTAAGCGGATTGATTGCAGTGGCGTGGCGTGATTTGCGATAAATCGATTGATCTGCCATTTAAACCTATGGAAAAGGATCGATAACCAGTGAGCTCGCAACGAACACCTTAATAATCGATTCTTTACCTTAGCTTCAAATGGAGAAATATCGATAATCGATCATTCACGGCTCCAAGTTTCAAAGCATGAAAGCCGTTATAATATTTGGATCTCGTCTAGCAGGAAGGAATCAGCGCGATTACAGCGTTTTCAAAATCGTACAACTTCTCATTTTCTTTAAAAAAATACCTGAAGTATGTACAGTATTAAAATTTACACAATTATTCTTTCTTAAAATTGACAATTTTTCGGTGGGAAGCAAAAAGTATTCGCTGTTCCGGGAGATTTCTGAGATATTTCTGAAGAAACAACATTTTTACAACACTACTCGCGCTGGTTCCTTTTTGCTGAATGAGATCCATTTAATGTTGATAAAACTGCAAAAACGTGGATTTGGTTCGCGACGCTGTAGACTTCCTGTCATAATTCGCTTTCTAAATGGACACATTCGAAGGCATTTTAGTCGATTAAAAGTATGTCTCAAATCTTTATATTCACATTTCATCGATATCCATGATGTATTCCTGAAGATCCCAGTTGGAACAATTTTTTGTTCATCCAAAAGCATATCGACGGTGCAACTCTCAAACCATGTACCTCAGTTTGCGAGGTTGTAGATTCCCTGTCATACTTTATTTTTGAAATGTAAAACCACTCAATGTAGGAATAAACTTTCAAACCTGATCTTTGCCATTCTATTTTGCACATGTTATCCGGTACGTTTTCTAAACCTGATGTCTTATTTATTGACTTATTTTTCTGATAGCTCAACATTCTCTATGTTCCAAAAGTTTAGAAAGGTACAATTGTTTTTTAAATTTGTTGTTTCAGCGGTGAAATTCGGTCGAATGTCAAAGAAACAAAGAGAAAAGGTGGAAGATGAAGTACGGTTTCATCGGGCTCAGTTGAGCAGGGCGCAAACGGAGACTGCTCCAGATAGCTCAGTTTTTGATCAGGCACAGACTCCATCATCGTCTGATCAGCTACATCAATACAATGGAGGGTATGTTTCCCATGTTCTACTTTTATCTTACCGCAATGATGAGTTATATCGATGGCTAAACGCCAAAAATAGCAATGTTTAAAAATCTCCAATAATGTTTTACTTTCTTCGAGGAAAGCTAATCAAAATATTTCATTGACATTTCATGAGCTTTTTTTTAGAATGAGTGAAAAAGGATAATCACTCAAGTTTTCAGTAGAAACTGTTGTTTACTTTCCTTGGAAAACAAACAAATGAATAAACATGAGTGGAGTTTACAAACGCGGAATCTTAGGTACCTACGCGATGTTTAACTTCAGTTTTCGGTGTATAATATGGCTGAAAGCTTACAGATAATTGAAAATTCGTACGTTTTTCTTAGTGTCTAAAGATGATTTGGATACTAGCGGAATTGACTCAAACAATTCAATTTTTTTATAAGAATCGACTGCACAGTTTCTGTCCTGGAGTTTGCTGATTCTTGTGTATAAACAAGAAAAAAGTTAGGTGAAAATCTCAGTCAGAAGCGGATCCACCAATTTGCCAGAACCGGATTTCCTCCATTTAAGCCCAAGTTAAATAATCGATTCCTTTCGGAGCACCTGCCCCCTCCGGCAATCAATACATTTCCATAGGTTTAAATGGAGAAAAAACAATGTTGCTAACTAGCCGGATCCGCCATTGCTTTCAGCTAGGAACGCAACCATTTTCTGTTAGGAATTCAATTATAGCTAATAGGCACTCTGCGACATAGGAATACAGTCACGTTTTTTTGTCTAAAAAACGAAAACACTGGAAAAAAAACACATTGGATCTAGAGTCCAGACTCTTAAAAACATTGACAAGAAAAAGTACTATTGATTCAATCAGAATCTAGCTTAAATCAAGAACCAAGCCTCTTAATTTAAGCGGATTTCGTTTTGATTCAAGCAAAAATTCGATTGAATCAAGAGCATTTTTTCTTGTCAATGTTTTCAAGAGTCTGGGCTCTAGATCCGATGTGTTTTTTTTTTTTTTTTCCAGTGAATATAAGTTTAAGCTGGTTCCTTTCTACTGATTCGTTGAATTTTAATTTTCTCCCTGCACCATCTTAATTTTTCTCTGTTTTTCTTTTTGGTCCAGATATCCTTACAGCACTAGTGATATAGGAAACTACACCAACAGCCCATATGGATACTCAACACCGGTTGGAGCACATGCTTTACAATATGAAATCAACGGCGTTGACAGCTTTGTGGATAGTACAACAGCCTATGACCCACGGCCGACAAGTCTGGACTCCCTCACGCCAGACAACGGAATCATGGGCAATGTCGTCACAACGGGTATATATTTTTTTTCTTCTTCTTTTTTTTCTTTATTAAATATATAGAGAACTACAAGATACATTAATTAACATGTATACAAGTATATTCTTTAACTTGGCATTTTCCAATACTTCATGTGTATAGACTCGAATCTCACACTACTAATCTTATCAAAGAAACATAAACTTCTTTGAACGGCACGGACCTCTCACTTGCGCTTGACAGTTTAGTCGAGTGATTTATTCGAGAAAGCTCCGAACTCTCATCTCCGACGACTTTCGTTATTTTTCTACCGATTTTATAAAATTATTTTCAGATTCAATGGAGATGTTGCATGTGGGAGGAATTTGCGATTTGACTGCTGCTTCTCATTTAAAAGTTCGCGAGAAACACGGTGGTGCCACTGGTTTTCTCTGAAATCAACTCCCAAGCTCAAAAAAAGCTCTCAAGTTGAGACCAAAATGGAGGGGATATCCCACCCTGCCCTGAGAGTCTACGTCTACATCAAGACAAACTCTCCACGCAAAGATAGGGAGCAAATACATTGACAGGGCTGCCACCTTATTTGGGGACTCTCAAAGTGAAAACACGGCAGCCCTGCTAATGTATATGCTCCCTATCGTTGCATGGAGAGTTTGTCTTGATGTAGACGTGGACTCTCAGGGTAGGGTGGGATATCCCCTCCATTTTGGCCTCAACTTGAGAGCTTTTTTGAGCTTGGGAGTTGATTTCAGAGCAAACCAGTGGCACCATCGTGTTTCTTGCGAACTTTTACATAAGAATCAACAGTCAAATCGCAAATTCTTTACACATGCAACACCTCCATTGTGACCGAACTGGTGAAAAGGGACCTTATCACCGAGAGCCTTAAGCTTCTTCAACTTTTTTCAAGTGCATAGACGAAAAGAATCTTGAGATTTTTCTTTCTTACCCTCGAGGGCTATGTGAGCAACACAGCCGAAGATAATATGTAATCGGGCTTCACTTTTTAACCTTTCTTGCAAATCAGAGCGACGCGGCACCCCATTGGCAGCTCAGAGCGGAAGATTGCGAGTTCACGCCTCGCGCCGTCGCGCCTTCAATTTTGCAGACGCAACACGGACATCCATCAAACACGAATAGTTGTATCTCTGCGCCGTCGTCAGCGCGTGTTCTTTTCCCTGCTTTATTTTCATATCGTGTTGGCTCCGTTTGTCTCATTTGTAGAGAATCTTGATAAGTTTGACCCTTAGAGCTCACAAATTGAGGGAGATATGAGTTGTGAAGTTCCGAGACAATATATGTGTAGATTCAAGAAAAACGTGATTTAAGTTTTTGAAAAAAGTTAAGGATCTTTTTCTCCTGGGAGATGAGGCCCCTTACCACATATCCGGTCTCACTGATTAGCATTTTACTGCGTGACTGTATTTGGTCCGCATGAATTGAATGACACCTAATCACATAATGATTTGGAATACGATAAATTTTAATTAAAATATTTTATGAAAATGCCTCTTCCCATGTGTTGTAAATATCTCTGAATCTCTTCGATAAAAAATTTGGCAAATCTTTCTTGCAACTATAAGTTCAAGTTTGTATGCACCTCTCAATTAGGTGAAGAGAGGATCGATAAGGGCCATGCTATCAAGCCAAACAACATAGAGAGAGACCTCACTGAATACAATCGCTATTTATATTTTGCTCGGAACTTGATACCTACTGCACAATCACAACAGGAGTCCACTGAAATATACAAATCAGTTTTTAATCTAATCATAATTTGAGTTGCCAAAATGTATGAGCAACTTGAGCTACCCAAAAAGACAATAACTTCCAATGATAATGTTTTTCTAACATGTATCTTAATGTTGAATGTATATAATGTTAGGGAGCCCCAAAGAGGAGAGCTTTTTAAGGAACGACTATGAAGCCTCCCAAAAGAAAACAAGAGGAGCAATTTGGATTGTGAGTAGAGTGGCACCTACTTTTACAAGTCGTCTCTGATTGGCTGATGCGTCTGGCGCTCACTTTCTAGGGCCCTTATGGAAAACAACGCGGGGTTCATTTTTCAGCGAAAACGTCTCGGAAAAAAGGACAGATTTACCCGTCGGAGATTTCAGAAATCGATTTTCCAGATTTACTGCAGAGATTCATGGGTACTACACGACACTTTTTTTCGAACTCACTAAATAGCACGACCTGAAATTTTGTTTTTCATGACACCAAGTGTCATATTTCAAGTTGTCAAAAATAAAACTCCCAGGTCGAACTGTTCGGTTTTTTTGGAGAAAAAAGTGTCATGTATTACGCATAAATCTCTTCAGAAAAATCTTGAGAATAGATTTCTGGACTCTCCGACGTGTAAAATTCTTGTTTTCGAGATATTTTCGCTCAAAAATGAGCCCTGTGTCATTTTCCTTAAGGGCCCCAGAAAGTGGGCACCAGGCGAATCAGCCAATCAGAGACGACTCGTTATACTGTCGTGCGAAGAAAGCCATCAGGCGTTGCCAAATTTCCTTCGACAAATCAAACATTTTCAGGAAAATCTGGGGATATTTTTCCTCCAATTTTTCACAGGATTTTGCTCGTAGTTCGATGTAAAAAGTCTGAAAATTGGGATGAAAAATAGTCGTAACTTTCCTAAAAAATAGACATTTTATCGGAGGAAATTTGGCAACTCTGAAATGTTCATATGGCGTTCTTCCTTAGCATAGCAGGAAAGTAGGGGGTGTGGGGTGTCTACAAGTCCGGAAATAGTACTGATTTTTTAAGGGCGGTCCGGAAGTACTGAAAAAGTGCGGAAATTCCTCAACAAGGACCGGAGAATTTTTAATTTTTGTCATTTTTGTCGCAATTTGAGCTAGATATTAAAATTTTTGAAATTTTTCGAATTTTGTCAAATGTTTGGAGGTACTGAAAAAGTTCTGAATTTTTCATTTGAGGAGGTACTGAATTCCGTGGGAATGTACTGAAAAAGTACTGTAGAAGTACTGATTTTCGGCCAGCCTGTTTTAGTAGACACCCTGGGGTGGCACTCGGCCCGCAATTCAGATTGCTGCTTTTGTTTTCTCTTCGGGAGACTCCTGAGACCAGGGTGGCAAAATTTCATGAAAAATAAAATCTTGAAATTCCACGTGAAATATTTCATGAAATTTCAGAAATTTATGAAAGATATGGAAAAATACCGGTTCTTCTTTATGTTTCGTAAAATGTAAATATTGTGACTTCCTTCTATTTTTGTGTGTTTGAGTGCGGGTTGCATACTCTAGCCCCTGAAAAATATGAAACATTTCACAGCCTCGTGAAATTCCATGAAACATTTCACTGAAATTTCCAATCTTTCATTTATTTCTTACGTTTCATGCCACCCTGCCTGAGACTCCTTATCCCTTTGTGCTGACATTGTACATACCTGATGGAAAAGTGTAAACTGTACTATGATTCTAAACGGTGATTGGTGCATGCTATTGCGAAGGTGGTGGAGCGATTGGTGTGAGTGGTGGTGGGGCCAAGTGCATATCCCCGTCGCCGGGGCAGCAGCAAGCGTCGCAGCAAGCTCAGCACACGCAGCAACTCCGGGCCGTCGCGGTTAAAATCGAAAACGATCAAAGTACGGAAGATACTTCTTCCCCCCTCGTGAGCACTTACGTAGACAGCACCACTTCCAAACAACTAGACGATATTAGCATACCTAGTAAGCATGTAGCTTTTTCGTACCGTTTCTTTTCCTTTACTTTTTCTTTTTGTATCAATTTTGAATCTCTGCCTACCTCGAGTGCTAGACACACCTGCGAGCTAGACGCGCGTCTTGAGCGGCGAGTAGATCTCCGGCCGTGTTCGGCAATGTCCGTGGCCAATCAGGTTGCACCCCGCCCGTAACTCGCTCAAAGAAGTACCCTGGATACACGCTCAAATTTCCATCAATTTCCGATCAAATGGTGACTGGTGCACACCATCTACCATCAAATTTCTACGGCCTGCAAAAATTTGACCGCCATTTTTGTCATCAATTTGACCGGAAATTGACGGAAATTTGAGCGTGTATCCAGGCCATAGGATCGTATCCTAAATTTCGCGTCTAGACACGCGTGCAGCAAGCAGTGTATCTGGCGCTTTAGGGTAGAGTACCTACATTGAGAGAGCACGGATATGTCGGTAATTTTGAGGTTAGGTCACGGAGCTTTTAGGACCCAGCCAACCAAAGCACGTATCTAACTTAAATTTTGCATAAGTTTACTCATTTTTCCGGAAGAACGCTCGCAACATTCTTGGCCATTTTGGTCTGGTTTTGGAATCTAAAGATTGGATTTTTTGTGTTTGAAGGTTGCTACCCTTTTGGGCCCTAAGAGCTCCAGATTTTGGCATGTCCTTACTCTCCCTAAATAGGTACTCTAGTACTCTACCCTAGGAAGCGTTAATAAACTACGCAACGCTGTAGATGGGAAGCGGGGCTGCGTTACAAGAGAGGGAGAGGAGGTGAACGCCAGCATTACTCACCCGCTCTATTCCTGAAAAATACAAAATCGAAATTGTATCATCCTCATTTCTTTGGCGCTATTTTGCACACTATCATTAAAAATTCTTCAATTTATATCCACTTATAATTCAACAGTTTTCCCACAATTTTTGGTACCTTAAAAGGGATGGCTCCGTCAAGCATTAGGTAACGTCAGAAGGAAACGTCCGGCGTTGCGTTACGAAGCGTTACATAAAGGAGGGGAAGTCACAAATGCCGGAATAGTGCGTTGCGTAATTTATGAACGCTCCCTTAAAGTCAACCTAGATTCATTCATAGTAACCTGTTTTAGAGGCAAATTCCAGAGAATGAGCCACAGCTGAATTGGCGGGCATCAATGAACAGCCTTAGAAACAAAAAAATCATATGAACTGATCATTTTTCAAATATTTCGCAATAGAACTCAGCTATCTACTTTCAGCTTATTCTTAACTGGAGTGACTCAGCGTGGCCGTGCTTTACAATTAGCAAAAGTCGAAATAAACATGAAAAAGGAGATCATGCCAGAAACCTGCAGTCCATAAATTGCATTATGATTTTACAATGCAGAGTTCATCCTGTATTGTTTTGCCATTTGATACTTGATGAGTTTTATAATTTTATCTACTTAAGGCTTCTCGATCGATGCAGACGTTTCGAGCTCTATACTAGTGCCAACTTCAATTCAGATTCATCCCGCTTGTTCTCAAATTATAAGAACGTCATTTTGTTGTCTCATTGGAAAATCTAAATTCTCCATACAACTTTATTTCTCCTCATAATAAACCAACAATTTCAAAGATTTTTTCCTGTGAACCTTTTGAAAATTGCCTCTAAAATAAGTTGTGCTGTAATGCAACATTCATGTGTAATATAAGTAGATTCTGCCTGCCCGGTAATAATTTTTTAGCTGCCATTGGAATATAGAGTCAGTTTTAAATTACATTCGTGCAGGAGGATTATCAATTAATTCTCCATACGTACATTCAGCTGAAAACATTTTCACTAAAGATACTGGATTTTAAGCCCGACACCCTCTTAAGGTTCTAATGATAAATAGCAAACTTAACAATCAGTCATCTAAAAAAAATTTGGTAGTAAAAACAGACCTATAAATATATAACCCCACACTGAAATGTGCCCTAAATCTGCTGAGTTTGCTGAGAGCTTGGTAGTAGATAAACCTCAACAGTTTTTCAGCAGCCCTCTTAAAGATATGTGCAGTAATTTTTAAAACATGAAGTACATCACAATATTATTTATCCATAAAATTTCTCCCAAACTATTTTCCTCCCTAAGAACTTTAGAGCTTTTTTGGGGGTCTCTGTGGAGTTTGATAAATTTTGTTAATAACCACAATAGTCATTCCTCTTTTTCTGGCAAGATAAGTTTTATCCCTAACTCTGTCCTCTCTGGTGATCTTCTTACTGAAGCGCACATAAAATCCATTTCTCTCAATATAATGCAGATGTTTACAGATGCATATTTAAATAACCTTAATTCTCATTTACAATTGGACCGCGTTTAACAGAAAGGAACCAAGCCACATCAGCTATTGCCAAATTTAACTGGGCAATTTAATTTTTTACGAGAGAACGTTTGTGCGGATTCCTTTGAAAATTTTAAGGAATTTGCTTCGTACCACGGAGGAAATTCGCTGAAATTTGCACAAATATCCGCACAACCGTTTTCATGTAAAAAATTGAATTGCCAAATTAAATTTGGCAATAGCTGATGTGGCTTGGTTCATTTCCGTTTTACGCGGTCCAGTTAAAGATGGCGATGGAATCTCTGAAGGGATATAAAAGTTTGCTGTTTGATTTAGTCCCAGCTGTAATCGTAAAATTGTTACCGACTACAATTCAATAGACGTGCAGAAAATTTCAATGAACCGGCCGAGGTAGTCTATAGCCTGTGTCACACTATCAAAATACTCCATCAAAATATAAAAGTCAGGTGTTGTGATTGGCTTATTCGATGACTCGGACCAATCACAGAACTTGACCTTGACATTTTGATGGAGTATTTTGATAGTGTGACACAGGCGATTACTTTTGACGATTGCCTTATCACCCAAAATTGTCCTCTCGTTTGCCGCGAGATTGGTCATTTTCTGCCGACAGTTCAATTGCCACGAAAAATTAAGGTTGACCCATAGCTTCAGTCTAAACTTGGATCCTTAATTTTCAATTGGATGGGCTCCTTTAAAATATATGCAATCTCAGTGAGGAATACTCTGTGACTTTAAGAGTTTCAGTGATTCAAGGTTAAAGTGTAAAGCAGGTAGATAGTCAAACAAGGAGAATTGGAGTGATGACTATACCCAACATGGGGAAAAAAGAATCAGACTTTTTCTGCAAATTCCTGGATAGTTTTTTCTCCCTTATTTTCGACCCTCATAGTTTACCACAGTCAGTAGATGAGAAAATCGCCTCATAATTGAAAGCGCAATCAACAATGAAAGACACAAAAACGTGGAGCCAAATTTTAATGTATTCACATAAATATTTGCATGATTATTTTATGACGTACAATTGCGGCTAAATGAGGGTAGCGTCCTATAGTGTTTCTTATGTTATTTATTCCGATCAACTTGCTTTAGTCTTTAAAGTACCATGGCTTTAAACCAATCACGCACATCAGGAGCTATATATTGCTATTGAACAACTAGTAAATAAAGTCTGCCCATTTTCCAGCACTTATAAATATTTGCCTTAGTTCTCAGCGGCAGTGCACTATCTTAAAATTTCAATGTACGAAATGTACTTTACGATAATGTCTGCTTCAAAATTACCAGTGCACGATGTGTGTGTGTGTTTTTTTTTAAAAAAAAGTTACAGGAAAAAGTACAGTTTTTAAATCAAACGGGAACTTTCCCCGACTGATTTTGCCTAAGGTCATAAAGACCTTTAAGTTACCAAGGAGGTATGGTAGTGAAAATCGGAAAACTAAAAAAAGTGCGCATTTAAGTTGAGCAGCAATGCGTACGAGAGCATTTAATTCTATCTTTTAAAGCAAAGTGGAGTGTAGCTAATGTTGAGAAAATCGCAACCTATGAACATAACGGAGAGCTCGAAATTCCTGTAAGAGGTTTCCCAAAATTTTACTAACTAGTATGGAGGACAGTTATAGGTTAATAATTTAGAATGTTTGATTTTTTTAACGCACGTTGGCAAAAAAATTCCAACATTCTGTCGTTGAGTGCGTCTACCGCAATCAGTTTGTTAATAATTTACCTAATAATATTATATACTGTATTTTTACTATTTTTATTACTATATTTTTTAATAATTTACTATACATCATTAATAATTAACAATCATTGATATTCAATCAATCATCATTTGTGGAAAAGACATTCATATGAACAGGCGAGAAAAATGTTCGTTACCTTTGAGTCAAGCTCAACCCAATTTTGACCGTAGATAGTATTAGCACTGCACTGAGTTTCCATCCAAGAAGGAGATTTTTTGCGAGGCTGAAGAGATGGAACTCAATTTTTTCTAATGTTGATAAAAAGTTTTAGAGTTTCAGTGCTTATCATTCCCTTATAACTTATGTGCACATTTTTGCTTTCCTTCATTTTGTGTAAACAACACATAACACAGATGCATACAGCAACAAATCCGAGTATCGTATTCAGTTCACGCCAGAATATCGATTCCTTCAATGTCAGGAAACATATTTTTACATTTTTCAGGGTATGACCGTCAAAGCTTTGATTAACAAACTGCTTTTGTAACCAGGGTAACTCAATCGCAGTATTTTTAAAGTTCCATCCCACCAATCCAGTTACAAGCACTAATCATAAATTTAGGGAAAATATTCCGCATCGTTTTGAAATAATGGCTATTGACAAAAAATTTAAAAAGAAAAAAAATCACTTCTCATCATGAAATCTGGGACACGATTCAAATATTAATTTTTGGTCTGTATTTTTTTTTCTTTTTTTCCCCATGCATCTTACCTACTATTTGGCTAAGAACCTCATGCCGAAAGTTGATAAATAAACTGTTATAGTTTTTAACATCCTGAACACTCCTTCAGATTTTTTATTAATTTGTTTTTCCTTTCTTTCAGACCCAGCACAGATCTCAGAACTTCTAAGTAAGACTATAGCCGATGCGCATGCACGAACGTGTTTGTACACTTTAGAACACATTCATGACATGTTCCGCAAGCAGCAGGATATATCAAAGCTTATTTACTATAAGGGATTGGTATGTATAGAATATAGATTCTTTTTTTCTTGTCATTTTTTTTTTTTTTTTGCGTATGGTAAATAGCCCAACGCCAACACAAAACAATTTTTCTGGCTGAAATACGATTAAAGCTTCTGTTGTGTTTCTTCTGGCCTCTCGTAAAAAAAGTTGTTACATAAGAGCTGAAGTCGTTTTTTGATGCTGCGCATTAAATTTAATTTCCTAGCAACGAGCTTGCTCAGTAATTTTTAATTCTTTCTTTCTTGAAAAGTAAAGGGTTTGAAGTTTACAGAATCATTCTCCTAGATTTTTTGAATGATTATGAGCTACGAAACAAAGTTGAAAGTTGCGGATTTTTAGCTCTCATTTTTAAGTGCATGACCGAGTAGGCCAAGATGGCGTCAAAAAATATCCCTCTTTATCCTGATTCTGCGTTTCCTCCACCGCGATCCGTGAGCCGTGGAGCCCAAGGTTGCTGGATTTTGTGATACAATTTTGATGTATTACATGAGTTTAAATTGAGAAAATTGGTGATTTTCAGTACTATTTGGCAAAAATTGTGCAGCCGTTATCAATGATTGGCTTAACGTATTGGCGTAATTATTATCGTGCGTATTAATTGGAAATAATTTTGCAGTTAGGTACTATGATCCCTGGCTCATCTGTAAAAACACCTATGTGCCTAAGGAAACTGAAGGTACATACGTTTTTTCTAAACTGAGCCAGAAATTGTAGTTTCCAATTGCGAAATGTGGTCCAATTGTGACAGAGGCAACACTCGATCACAATTGTGGCCGCCAGAGGGATATTTTCCGCCGCCATCTTGGCTTCTAAGCGATGCACATTTGAATGGAACCTCAAAATACGCAACTATTAACTCGTTTTTCGTGGGTTAATATCGCTATCTTATCTTATCCCTTATTGTGTATAGGTATACAGATAAACTCAGTACCCTCTGAGCTTTCATTAAGATTCTGCTTCACAGTTTCCAAATTCATTTGTTAAAATATTGAGAGTCTGTAGAGATCTCAGCCTACCCTGGTAAAAGTTGGCAGTAGAATCTGTGTTCCAAAATACCATAGACCTACAGCCGGCTGTAAGATTTCCAATAGCTTCTATAGCTGGCTACACAATTTCTTATAGCCTTTTATAGCCGATGGCGATTAAGCAACAGCCAGGCGATAAAGTGTATGCTAAGCGTTACTAATTACGGATGCTAGGACTTAGTGAGTTTTTGGAATACTGCTCTCTTTTTGGGACGCAGTATCTTGATTTTTTGTGCCAGGAAAGCTCCGTACTTTTGATGGATGCCTGCTATTCCTAATATATTAGAGCGCCTTCAGTTTCGTATGATACTGTGCAATACCTCTGGTGTGAAATAGTTGCTTTAGGCGCCGTGGCACGCTGCGGTGCGGCGCGGCGGGCGGGCAGAGAGCGCAAAACGTGCATTGGCGCCTACAAACCTAACAGGGATACTTCACGCGTTGCGCAATGCGTGAAGTATCCCTGTTAGGTTTGTAGGCGCCAGTGCGTCGCCGCTCCGCTTTGTGTTAGGCTCTAATATATTTAATCTGGCGTAGTCAGCGTTATTCAACTCATGATTTTGAAATGTTTGCACATCCTGTATGGATTATTCTCGTTTTAATTGATGTAAAAAATATGTATTAAAGTAAAATATAACGTGTGTTTTGTAAATATTAAGGTGGTTCTGTATCAAAGTTAATGATTTCCAAAGCACACGAATTTCTACACAATTTCTTATAGCCTTTTGTAATCGATGGAGAAAAAGCGACAGCCAGGCGATAAAGTGTACCTAAAGCCCGGCGATAGGAAGTATGGCCCGGCTGCATAATTTTTTATCACTTCGTATAGCCCCGCCGTATGATTTTCGCCGTATTCTACAGCCAGCTATATGATTTTCTGTAGCCTTCTTTAGCCGGCTATAAGAATTCCCATGGTATTTTGAAACACAGCTCTTATCGCCAATTTTTACTAGGATATCCGTCTTGTAATTTACCTGAGGGATCTTCTTTATCGATTAATGTTGATTATTTTTTTGTTCACAGTCTCACGAAGAGCTATGGCTTGAATGTGCTCAAAAGTTAACAACTGTTATACAACAAATTATAGAATTTGCCAAAATGGTTCCCGGGTTTATGAAGCTGTCTCAAGACGATCAAATCGTTCTGCTCAAAGCAGGTTGGTATTTCAATCTCAACAGGTGTAAAAGACACAATTTTTCCATGAGGATAACGGATTGTGTCTAAGGGCGTCAACGTTCAAAAAGTGTCCACAAATACAAACTGGGAAAAGTTGAGTGCAAAAGAATTCTGGACTGAAAATATCCTCGACCCTGTCAAAACTGTCCCACGGGAATATTTCACCTATCCCTGTGTAAAGCCATTGGTAATTGGCCCAGGTTCCCATCAGAACATCAAGGGTTCCCTTAGCTAGGAATCTCATGGGCCCTAATGGGACTGTTTTGACTGGGTAGGCCAATTGAAGAGGATCTGAACTGGTGCTGTAATTCTGTATCTAAAGCAGCTGATCATAGAGCCCTTTAAAGTATCAGTTTATTTTTAGCAGAGGCTTTAGACCAAAAAAATTGCCAAATAACGACGGTTGAAAACGAAAAATATTGAATCAAACTTTGTCTCATAAAAATCTGAAAGATTTGAGCTTCATTGTTGTTTCTCTTTGAATTCCTTTAAAAGCTCGGCTTTGAAGTTTTTTATATCCATTTTGATATCATTGATATACATTTGATATTATTATTTGATATGCTATCGATTGAGGTCCGAAAATTGCTTTGCAGCTGTCAAAAAGTGCATACCTATAATCTTTTTTTAAAAAAGGCATAAAAGTGCTATCGTATTGCATCATACTTGGCACCTGACAGATAAAAATTCAGAAGCTTTCATATTTTTGCTCAGTTCTTAATTGTTTTTAAATTTTTTTGTGAATACAGGAAGTTTTGAGTTGGCTGTGATAAGGATGTCGCGGTATTATGATCTATCGCAAAACTGTGTGCTGTATGCGGACACTCTTCTACCGCAAGATGCTTTCTACACACAGGACACTCTAGAAATGAAACTAGTTAATTTAGCATTTGAAGTAGCACGAAGTATTGCCGAATTAAAGCTAACAGAGACAGAACTTGCCCTGTATTCTGCGGTTGTTTTACTATCACACGGTTAGTAATGAGTTCTTTGTTCATGAATATCAACTGTCTCTTAAAATATATATAGTTCATGAAACCTTTTAAGCCCCCCCCCCCCAAAAAAAAATAATAATAAAATAAAAAAACTTTATCGAGTTTGCAAAACTTAGAGTTTTTTTTTGTAAAACAATTATTGTTTGTTAAGCTTACAGATTTTTTTTTTTTTTTTTTTTTTTTAAATGATTTGTTATATTACCCCTACAACTTTTAGTATTATTTTTAAGTAATAAGGATTATTTTTTTATGAATTTTTTTTTTCATGCCTCAATATTTTCTTGGGTGTTCTTAGACTTTCATCATTTCTATCAAATCACCTAATACATGTACAAAAAAACCAATACTACAAGTTGTGGCGTATTAAATTCTGAGTATTTTTTTGAAGAATAATAGCTTTCTAGCAGCAACAGAACTGAAGTTACTCTTGTTCCAAGATCCGGAAACTTTTAAAAAGTAACGTTTTCAGTATGGACAGATGAAGAAAAGAAAGACAAAGTATAAGTTGATGACTAAGGAGCTTCGAAACTTTATTAATAATACCTCTGAAGCACTTGAAAAAAAATGAATGCATCATTCATCTCGGCGGAATCCAAATAGTAAGAAAATGCAAAAAAACAATCGGAAAAAATGAGAACTCCTTAAATACTTTAAAATGCTCATTGTGCTCTTAAGTGTAGTACTTTAAGATTGGAAACTTAACAATGCAATGCAAATCGTATTTTAATAATTTCAACCCTGATTGATGTTGGTATTTATTTGATACCTAGCTTTTATTTTTTGACTGAGATTTTTAATTATGTTCATTTTTTTTTCTTTCAATATAGATCGGCCAGGACTAAAAGGGTTAGCTGAAATCAGTAGGCTGGGTCAAGCTGTATCGAAAGCTTTAAGACTGGAGCTCGACAGAAACCATGGACCCATCAAAGGGGATGTTACTGTTTACGATGCCCTGCTCGCCAAAGTCCCCAGTTTAAGGTACGGACCTCACTTTCACTTAATTTTGAAATCCAAATAATTAAACTCAATTTTAAAAATGTTCAAGCAGTTATCTATTCTGAAAAACTAATGAGAGTATCTGCTCCAAACATGAAGCCTACTTTTTCACCACTTGGAGCCTCTGCTATTTATATTCAAACAAACGGTAGTAAGAAAGATTTGAAATTTTATCCGTGCCTTGAAGATTTTTTTTCTGAAAAATGGGTTATCTAATTGTTTTGATTCATCAGGAGAGGAAGGAAACCGCTCAAAAAACGACAGGTGAGTGAAATTTCAAGGCTAAGGATGCCATGAATTGTAAGTAATGGCATGGAATAATTGACCACTATGCTACCGTGCTAAGGAAGAATGCCGAATGAACATTGCCAAATTTTCCTTGATAAAACATCTATTTTTGACGATATTCATGCACAGTTTTCCTTCAAATTTTTAATTATTTTAGATTAAATTGTGTAAAAAATTGTCCGAAATTTTTTGGTAAAAATATTAAGGAATTTCCCACTAAATTCGGTTTTTATCGAACGAAACTTAGCATGGCAGTATGGCTGAGGTGGGTAAAAAAATAAAATAGATTCTGAAAGTAGAAAACACAGGAAAAAGGAATAATCAAGTCTAAATGTAACCAAGTCAAGGCTTTACATTTTGTTGTTTTTTATCTCTGGTTAGATATCCATTTTTCTTTTGTTTTTTAGTTTAATTATTCGAGCTATTTCAGATTTTCTCGTTATCTCCTAAAATTATGTAGTTTAAATTATTTTTATTTAAAAATAAGAAATTCTCAGTCCCTCAGAGTTGCTACCCAAAAAATATCATATTTTAAGATTCAAATTTCAAGACTGTACTAAGTTCTGTCTTCTTTCTTTTTCCAGAGAACTGAGTATGCTCCATATGGAAGCGTTAGCTAAATTCAAACGCTCAGCGCCACATCTCGAGTTTCCTGCCCTGCATAAAGAGTTGTTCTCGGTTGATAGCTGAGTACATTCTTCCTCCTAGTAAGTCACTTTTTTTTAACAATTACATGTGAAGGGTGGCATTTATAGAAATGTTGAATGAAATTTGTTGCAACGCACAGGGTAGTAGAACCTTAAAGGAAGGCAAAAAAAGTTCAATCGTTCAAATCGTTTAAGATTGAGTTCTATCGTTCAAATTTTGAATTTTCAAAAAAAGGCACCGTTTAATATTCTGAAGACTAAGCATTAGGTAATTTACTTCATTTTTGTGCTGCCCATAGAGGATGTAAACAACTGCATTCCAGTATGTCAATTTTGGGGCCCAGATGTACCAAATTAAAACTTTTATTAGTTTCTTTTTCCTAATTTTTCCTCTCAATTGTGGATTTTGAGCCGAAAACTTCAGATATGCAACTTTGGTTACTTTCTACATAAAAATGCATTTTAAAGTTTATCAGCTCCTAAATAATTTATTTTGTGGAAGAAAGAACATAATTTACTTTTAGCCAGCAAAAAATCTAAATATTTTCATACTGTTATATCATTAATTGCAGCTCTTTACTCGCTCAAAACTCCAAATAGCCGAAAATCCATTTTTAGTTAAAAATCCTGGCTTTGAGAGAATATTTATGGCTACTTCAAGCCAGGTATGGTCTTCTCTGAGTTAAATTTTTAGGCTTTTTCCTTTCAATAAGCAATTAATTTATTTGTTCTCCACGTTCATTTTTACATCAGTTTTATGTTTTTATTTTCCAGAATTGAAGGTAGTTTTCTCGTCGTTATGGTGCACATGTCTGGAGCTGCTGGTTTCTACAAGAAACTTGTTTGGCAAGCTACGAAACTTTCACAGTGCATTCATGTTTTCAGTACCTATTCCCTTTGTGTAGGTACCTTAATTTTCATGTATAAAATATTTATTACAAGTATAAATATTTATGAAATGAAGTAAGTAAAAAAGTGTAGTTTAACTAATTTTGATTTTCTAGTAGATTATTGTTATTGATTAAATTTTATTTAAGAGGAAAATATTAATAATTAATATATTATAATGATAATTAAATAAAGAAGTTTTAATGAATGTAAGAAAAAAGAAACAATCCAAGAAGAGACAAGCAAGTAAAACAAGAAGAGAGAAAAGAAGGATGATAAAGGCCGGAGATTTAATGGCCCACAAATTAAACAAGGCCAAAAACACCAAGCTCATTATGACGTAAAAAAGAAATAATCTTTTATGTGTATTCTTGCAAAACTTGTGTTTCTATGATATACCAAGGCAAGGTCTGAAATCTCTAAAACCAGTTCTATATCCTTGAAATGTCTGACTTTAAATCCTTGCTAATGCACTATAATGGTTCTTTCCCCCTCCCTTTTCACAAGTTTGGTTGTTTAATATTTTTGACCCTCTTTTTATCTTATTTCTCAAAGCTCTGCCATCCAAAAAAGGGACGCGAGTTAATTATGGTGTTCCAGTTAATTTTCATGCAAGTAGCTATAATATTTAAAAAATGTAAGATCATTTGCAAAGCAAGGATTTTCAAACGAATCCTGTTTTAAGAAAACTGAAAAAGTTTTTTTTTGCCGAAGAGAGTGGTTTGTAATCAGAGGAACTGGAACATATTAACTGACTCTTATAGCTCTTGCTCGATGTGGTAGTATTTTTCTCAACCTCATGGTGTAATTGCTTTGTTTAAATCTCTCAGCAAATTTTTCAGACTTTGGCTCTTCCTCTTTGAAAAGATACGTTTCATTCTTGTTCATACATTCATTACTCAACGACTCTGTTTATCCATGAAAATCAGTGACATTTGCGCAGGAGATGAGGCACAATTATCGTGAATACCTCTGTTAAAGAGTAATTAGTACCTACTGATATCCTCTAGTTTTCTCTTCATTTTTGTAACTCACCAGCAATATAACACTGCAAATATCATTAATCGTTTGTGCTGTGAAAATTATTGCGAATCCCATTTTTGTCCATCTCATCAAATTTAAGTTATTTTGCAATCTAAGTAAATGTGCACAAATCTGTATTATTTAGGTCAAACGGTTGAAAATTTATAAAAATAGAACGTATAATTGCAATGCATTTTCCTTCAAGTTCACTGCCATTTATAGAATGTATCCACCATAGTCCACAAAATGTCAGTCTTTACTTTCCTTACATTAAAATTGTATCTCGATAGGTCAGTTTCAAGTTATTTTTTGTTTGAGTTATAAGCGGTGGGCTAAAAGCAGACGTCACCGCTGTCCTGTTAAACTGAGAATGCTATCACCATCCCCTTGGTAATAGATTTTCAAGCTTCATCTCCTTATTCTAGAAACCATGTTTCTTGATCTCACTTTTTTTCATGTGTAAATATTTGACAACTTTACATTGTATAATTACAAATTTTCTCTCCCATCTCGGTGGAAATCTTCATTTTTAAAGTGAAATCCAGTAAGTCTGCATATTTGTAACTTTTAATAACATCATCTCTACCTGTATCGATCTATCCTTCTGACAGGCTAATTTTCTCTGTTAAGTATTTTAAGTTATGGAAAAAAAAATCACGTTTTCAAATCTGAGTTTCTTTTTGAAAAATGAATCATCGAACGTACCGTTCTAGATCTCTCAGCTTGGGAAAGATTAAAGTCTGCATTTAGTTTTTATCGCAAAAAATTGCTTCTGAGTAAGCATAGTTCTTGTGACGGAAAATTTATTTTTCAGATAAAGTATTGAACATGTATTTATTTTCTTTCAACTCACTCTCTTCCAGTAAAATAGACAAAAAAAAGGCGTTATTTCAAGTAAATTACTTCTTTCTGAACTGTCAGCAACAACCGTTTAAATTCAAGTTTTCAAGAGTAAGAGAAAATTAAATAAATGATTTCGGTTTCAACCCTAATCCTCCAGTGGAAAATTATGAAAAGTGTTTTCCTCCCTTTCAAATCCTTTGCTTACAATTTTTGCGCGTTTTATTTTCATTTCATCATAATTTTCTCAGGCTCCTCACTGCCCAGCAAACCACAAATCCAACTAATTACAACTTGTTCGAGGAAATGAGTTTCGTCAAACAAGTGAATCGTGGTTTTTTAGTGATGTGAGTGGCAAGACTGCAAATCTGAGCAAATAAATCGGTAACATCAGAATTGCCTCTATTTTTAGGCAAACTCTTGGCGCTTGATGTTTCACAAATTTTTCTGAGAGACTGAGTATTTATTAGTTCCATTTGTGTAATTTTTTTTTAAAACAAAACTGTCTGAATTTTTTTCTTAGTACGTAGAATTGAGTGTATTCTTCAGAAATTTTTTTAAGCTCTCTTAGAAACACTAGTGCCTGTAAGATTAAACTACCTTCACAGTTTTAACAGAAAATTTTAGCTGCTCTTTCTTCTCTTTTACTTACGCGAATTTCCCCAAGCATATGATTGAAAATTATTATAAGGGAACCCAGGATAGTAAGTAGCATAAACTAAGCCAAAGATTTTCAACCTCCAAAAGCTGCTTTAAATCGTTAGCAACCTTCCTTTTTCTCCTTGATGAAATAGAAAATCAAAATTTTTCCTCAATACTATGCAGATTAATCGATGTGACTCAAATGCATACATTTGTATTATAAAAAAAATATGTTAGCTTATATTTGAGAATATAGTTTCATTCTACAAGACCCAAACAAAATTCTTCAACAAAATTGGAAATTATTTAAGAAACATTATGCTACATATGCATTATGATTGTGTGCATTTCATCAACATTGCTGGCAATACTTGATCACCATCTTCAACGCTTCATAGTATCATTTTAATATGATTGTATTTAGAACTTCCTCAATTTTTCCAACTTTTCTTATTCTGCCTAAATTTAAACGTTGCACCTGATTCATGTGAATATAAAATTTAATGTGTGAATGGACTTACTTAAGGAATGAAGGGTCACATCGCACCAGAAGCGTGGTGTGTTGTGCGATGAATTGTTTGATCTGTCTTTTAAACCTATAGAAAAGGATCGATTATCAGGGTGCTCCCTGCGGATACCTCATTATTCGATTCTTTACCATAGATTCAAATGGGGTCGATAGCCACTGATTAAGAAAGAAGAAATCCAATGAAAAGTAGACACTGAGGAAATTTCGTTCGGACAGTGCAGTGATCAGTCAACCTGCTGGTAAATATTCAATTAAGTTTTGACCGTGACTTAATTTTGGGGTAGCAATGGCCTGAACAATTCAATTTCAGTGATAAAAATATTTTTTTCTGGGGAAGAATTTAACATTTTTTTCCTGGTTTGCTTTTTGCATTACCTAAATTAAATTTTCTAGTTTCAACTAAGATAAGGTCTTAAAAAGCTTTAATCACACATGTCATCTATTTTGGCTATTATTAGCGTGAAATTTCAGCTAAGCTCAAGACCCGAAGTCTTTTTGAAATGAAAGCTCAAAAAAGCATTTTATCTGTAAATAAAAGGGGTAACAAGTGTTCGGAATCACAAGGAAATGTACTGCTTTACTAAATTTGAGGAAGTCTGAATGCAATTGTTGGTGGTTTTCAATTCTTTAGATATTTCCAGTTTTTAAGTGACCGGTCTCTTTCTCTCATAAGTATACAGAATGTATGTAGCTTTGATAAAAACTGTTTAATTTTAACTATAAAATAGATTAATCGATAGTTTGTTAATTCATATGCAAATCTTCTTTTTCTCTTCTTTTTTTTTAATGAAAGAAAACGAAAATTTAAAAAGATAAAAAAAAGAAAAATTTGTATATATATTTTTATTATTTGAAATGATGTTAATGATTTTATATTGTTTGTTTAAAAACCTCTGTTATTAGATCAAATCGTTTGATAATGATTATTTTGTAATCCAATGTGTTGTAATTTTCTTTTTCCTTTTTTTTCAAATTAAAATTTGAAGCTCTGTTTTTTTCTCTTTGTACTCAGTTAACGGGAAAGAAAAAAAAAAGTTTTTTTTTGGATTTTGTTGATAAATACAATTTTCTGAACAAACCCATCTCCATTTTGTTTTTGTTCGGTGCAAGAGTGTATCAGAGTCTCATGTAGTGATGGATGAATTCACTTTTTTTTACTCCTCTATATTTCTGGAATCAACAAAACTCTAGAGTCAGTACCTGATTAACCTTTACTGTTATGTATTTTAAATTTTATCTCTTTATCGTTTGAAAAAAAACGAATCCCTAGCACCTCTCCTGCTGGGTTTTGAAGGATTGGTGGGAAGAGCTTGGACAATTCGGCAACTCTACTCCATAAAAAAATCGTTCTTTTTGTAAAAAGTTACAGCTGTAAAAGTTACAGTTAAAATATATCTACAGTATATATATTATTGTATACAATTAAAAAAAATAAAAGATCAGTCTTCTTCTCCCTATTTTTTAACGTGAAGTTGGTATTTAACTGCCCGTTATTCTCTCTTTTAATTTTACAGTTTAAAAATAAGCAAGTTTACCTTTTTCAACTGGAGTAGAGCATAGTGACAGGTGTCGATAATACATTTTGCAATGAATGAAAGTTTTTTGCTGGTTTCCTTGCAATTCATGTCATTCATGAAATGAAATCAAGTGAGTAACCAATGATTTCGAAAATTCACCACGTCTAGTTTTTCCAACATTGTAGGAGGGCAAAGAATCGTTTAAAACTGTACAGCTTGATGTAATTTCAAACCAGCAGCTCTACTATATTTTCTTGGTGATAGTGAGAAACACCAAAGCAAAATCAAATATTCCAATCTGTTCCAGAATGAGGAAAATTCGGCAATAAATGGTAATGGTAAACTCCCAAAAATGCGCGTTTTCTGTTGCCGAATAAAATTTTCTTGAGAAAGTAACAAATCAGCAAAAAACGTTTTAATAATAATCAATACCTTTATTCTGTTCTGGTGGACCATTAAAGAAGGATAATTTTTGAGCCTTATCAGTAAAGTTCGATCTTCTTGAGATCATGTTTTTTAAACTGGCAGCGGTAAACTTGGCATAATACTCTTACTTTTTGCGTGATAGTAATGTAGAGATTGCTTAAATGTGCTCCAAGTTCAAAGAACATAGTCTTTATCAAAAGTGGGATTATAAATGCAAAACAAATCTTAAGCATTCAATTTTCTTTGTCCCCTCTACTAATCAGGAGTAGATTGGTACCAATAAGTAAAATTTTTAACAAGGTCATAAATGCAAAGGTGGAATATCATCTGTTCAATTACTTACAGCTAAATTATTTTTTCCAAAACTTCGTAAAAGTACAGTGGTCCGTCAGACCGAGTCTGTAAAGATGAAAGAATCAGGTATCTTAGCCTTGATAAAACTTATTGCTTAGTACTTAATCATAAGTTTATGCTTCAGGGTCGCAAGCCATTTCCGATCATATTATTTCGTGCACCTAGCTCTTCTCCCCAAAAATTCAAACGGTGAATTGTTTTTTACCGCAACTTAGTCCAATCTGGGAAGAAATGAAATACTTTAAAAATATCTTGACGCAAAACTAAATTTCTGTATCACTATAGCCTATGATGATATATATCCTGATCTCTCGGTATTTTCTTGTTTCGCAATTTGATTATTTAGCTTTGGCTGAAACAATGTTGCTATTGAATCGAGGTCATATCTTCAGAACCCCTTTTATCATTTCCTCCTCAGAATTTCCATTAACTATATTATACATCCTCAAGTAAGTGTTTAAACCTCATAATCACATAGTATATTTCAGTCTTGTCATTGTTTTCCATAATAGAACGGTACCTCATTATCAGTATTTTTAAAGTATTGAATTTTTTTTTCAACGCATGGGCTTAGCTTGATATCATTTTATGATTTGCTTTTCTCAGCAATCATAAAACACACTACGGTCATCGAAACATGAGGCAAAAATTATCTCATGTTTAATGTGTTCTCTCTAGCTAAATTTTTCACATTTCAGCACATTAAACATAATAACTGTGTCTAATAGTAATTTTATGCGTGTTCAACCATTTGTACTGAATTTGAAACCAAAATTCTGAAACTTGTCAAGAAAAATTGTAGATGGTGAAGTACTTTTAGCTTTTTAATAAATTGGTCTATCTATAGCCATTTCCTAGTTGTTCATTTTTCATACCAACTCATGCCAGCAGTTCCTATAGTCAGAGCCAAACATGTTTTTTCAAACAGAATGACAAAGTAAAAAGCAGCGCAAGAACTATAGATCTGAAGCAAATGAAGAGCACGAGATTGCATAGGCCATACACCTGACTTTTTTTTGGCTATTAAAACGATTCTACAGATTTCAACTTTACTGTTACTTCTTTTATGAGTGGATATTGATAGTGTTTCAAAATGATGAGGCGCATTTTCATAAGAATCCTTAGACTTTGACCCATTCTTTAGCATGTAAAATACGGGAGTACAACATTTTACAGGCAGATAAGAAAAAAACACCTACTGCCTAATTTACAAGGTATATTGGAAGTGTGCCGTGCAAATTGGAGGACAATATTCTCATATCATATTTATCAACGATATTATATACTCACATGGGCCATAAGTACTTTAAAAAATGGTGTCTAGAATGGGGAAAACCGGGATTCATCAGGGAATGAAAATTTACAGGGAAAGATCAGGGAATCTGTTCCAGAAACCGGGAATCTCTACTTCTAACGCCTAGGGATCATTCCGTTTTCAAATTTGGGGGTCTAATGTGATCGAGCGCTATTTTTGACTTCTTGAATGACACATTTGAAACTTAAAATCATTAAAAGAATGGAGAAGCTTTCATTCACCCGATATTATAAACATCTGGAACGCTATCTGAATTAAAATCGATATTCATAAATGGAACTCTGGAGAGTTATATTCTTTTCCCCCAGAAAATCTAGGGGAAGTAAGAGAAAAGTACGGTTTCTTATCAGGGAATAAGCTCCTGTAAATCAGGGAAAATCAGGGAAAAATCAGGAAATAAGCCTGGTCAAAAATTCTAGACACCATGCTTTAAAATTATTCGCACTGTTACTTATATTTCATCATATTTCAAACTACCTACACAAGATCAAACTGAAATATCTCTGAGAAGCGCGCGGATTTTGGTGTTTCCTTTACATGTGCTGTTATTTGTGGCATTGTCAGCAACTTGACTTCGAACTAGCTAAAACTTCCCTTTACGTGCACTATGATGCCTATCCTTTTATTGCACAAACTTTAATAGCAATGTCTCCATGCCTCAAGCAACTCACATTTGTCAGTATACGCCTACTTTTTTGCTTTGCGTTAAAGTCTCTGAAGTGATTTTCAATTTTTCCCTGAAGGACCGCCGCGCCGCGGTCCTTTAGCGCGAAGGGTCGCTTTTGGCCCCTCACTACTATTTGTATTTTCCTCATGAAGTAAGTGAAAACATGGATATTATTGCATTTGTTTAGTTTGGCAATAGTTAAATTCTTCTTTTTTTCATTCAATGAGATAATAATTTACATCAAGAGGAACCTGACATAACATGTAACATAACATTGATTTACGAAGTGACATTCAGTTCAACACTTTTATAATTCGAGCGCATGGTCATCTCGCTCGGTAATCCAGGATTGCGCGAAAGGTCTCAGAAAATATATGAGGATTGCGCGAAAAAGGCACAAGGATTGCGCGAACAGAAACTTTAACATCTGCTACAAGAATGCGCGAATTTAAAATGAAGTTAAATTAAGGTAAAAGTTTGGCAACACAGGACACAGTTGGAGAATAAACGCGTTTTTATGTTAACGCTAGTTTAGACTGGTCTGTTGACAAGTCATCAATGTCTTGCCTTCTGATTTAAATGAAGTGAAAAGATTGAATACTGGTCGTACGTGTAAAGAACTTTCCTAACTCAAAAAATATTTTAATCGGGAGAAACGAGGCGACGACGTTGGAATGCTCATACGGCGTCGAAACACAACATGGGCCTTTCTAGCTGTCTTATTCGATGCCGCGATTATTCTAACGCGAGTTCGAATAATCGCGCCCAACATAGCGCAACCGGCGTTAAACGTTCAGTAGCGCCTGCAAGACTGTAGGAATACTTCTCGCATTGCGCCAAATAGTGCGGTCGGCGCACAGCCTACATCAGCGCCTGCAAGACTGCATGAATACTTCTCGCATTGCGCCAAACGCAGTACAGTCGGTCAGTTGGCGGGCGTGAAACGCATATCAGCACCTACAAGACTGTAGGAATGCTGTAGGACTGCGTGTCATCATTCTTGACTTTCGCTCTAATTTTTACCATAGTTAAAGATATAATATGTATCCTCATTGTAACGATTCAGAAACTCGAATGATGTTTAATTTTTCTTTGGGTTACATCGTAAGAAAATAGAGCGAACGAAAAAATCGCTTTGAAATTTTCGATACTTTTATTTGAGATCTTTTACGTTAATTGGCGGAAATTTTTCAGGAAAACTGTGTGTTGCTCTCTAAAAACATTTATTAAAAATAAAACTTATTATCTACTATGAAACTAATAAAACTTAGCTATCTCGCTAGACCCCAGCCTGGAATGGCCGGAAGAGAGGGTGCAACTTGGCTACCCTCGCGCCAGTACCTTAATGTACCTTAATTTCTCCTTAAAATCATCCTTGAAATTTTTGAATGAGGGATGACGACTCACAAAAAAATTCACAAACAACTGTTTGTTCATTTTCTTTCTTTTTTTTTAAAAAAAAAGAAACAAACAAAAAAAACTTGAGCAGAGATTCGGAACATCACAATCGAGAATAGGTATTTTTCGTCTTGGTGCGAGGGAAAAATCGTTTTAAACCCTCGAAAGAATTTGAATTCTCTAAGGGCAACAACTATAGACTTGGTTGAAAATTTACCCTATATTTTAGGTACATTCAGAACGAACTCCCGTTCACTCTCACTTTCATCATGTCGTTCATGAATAAAGCGCTCTCTTGATCATGTGGTCCTCCTTCCCAAGTAGCACAGTGCAACGAAAATATTGAAATTAAATTGCAATTTGATTTCAATTCAATTGTAATTGTTTTACCATAAAATTGCAATATTTTTACATCATTTAGTCGATTTTATGCTGATTTTAAACAATCAATAAAATGAGCTTCATGTGTCAGAAGAATAGGCAATATGCAATGCAATGAAAAATTGCAACTTATTTCAATTTTATTGCAACAAGTTTCAGTAAATGGGGCCCCTTCAAATAGGAGCTAGGCAACAAACACAACACTCAGTAGAATTGCAATATTTTTACTATGCATTGCTATTGCTACTCATTGCAATCTGTTGTACCTGGGATAGGGTAAAGGACCTTGGAACAAGTAGGCGTGTCTTTCAGGAGACATTTGGGTTACTGTTTGGATATGGGCCATCTTCCTTCCACTCTTCAACAAAGCGCTTACAGAAGGGACATTTGTAAGAGGCGTTCATGTCTCCCTGAGCCTCGACTGCCTCTTTGCGGATTGTCAGGATGCAGCTTTTACATGTTCGGTGATTGCACGGCTTGATCCATATTTTTTCCGCGTGTGAAAAGCATATACGGCAAGCTGCAAGAAGGATAGAGAAAGAGGATATTGACGGAAAAAGATGTCACTTGGATCCAGAGTCCAGATTCTTAAAAGAATTTACAAGAAAAGATACTCACGATTCAATCGGATTTTTAATTTAAGCGGATTTCCTTTTGATTCAAGCAATTGAATCAAGAGAAATTTTTCTTGTCAAATTTTTTAAGGGTCTTAACTATAGATCCAAATAGACTTTGTCTCCCTTTGTAACACTGGGAAAAAAAAGTCGCTCGGATCCATACTTTTAATAACATTGACGAGAAAACATACTGTTGATTCAATCCGATTTTTCCTTGAATCGAAGAGCCTAGCCTCTTGATTCAGGCGAATTTCCTTTTGATTCCAGGAAATAGTCCGACTGAATCAAGAGTATTCTTTCTTGTCAATGTTTTTAAGAGTCTGGACTCAGATCCAAGCGAATTTTTTCCAGTGAAGATAAGATACCCAATCTGCCGTGCTAAGGAAGAGCGCCGTATGAACGTTCGAGAGTTGCCAAATTTCCCTCGATAAAATATGTATTTTGGCCAACATTCATGCATATTTTTCCTCGAAATTTTCAGATATTTCAGTCTAAATTGCGTAGAAAAATGTCTGAAAATTTTGGAAAGTAATATTCGCAATTTTCCTAGCGTATTTTATCGGAGGAAACTTGGCAACGTCTGAGGGCTCATACGGCGTTCTTCCTTAGCATGACAGTAATATTTCTTCTTCTTCTTCTTCTTTTTTTTGAGTACTAAAAAAGGCTAGTGCAAATACGTTCTGCTTTTAACAACTTGACTGGTGTATCGGCATCGGCACATTAATCAAGAGAGAAAAAAAAGAAACTGTAATCACATTTCGTAACATCTGACGTAAGGACGTATCTCAATTTCCACGTGAGCTCTGGGCCACATCCTGATCCATTCTTTCTGGGGATCATGCGACAATCGAGATACGCCTTTACGTCAGAGGAGCGACGATATATCGATGGCCAAAGCGCGAGACCACGTATCTCCGTTTCCGTCGCAGACTTCCTGTCATACTCTATTTTTCCCTTGGGAAACCAGTCAACTTAATTTCCTGAAATCGTCCTTGATTTCTTTCCTCCATCGGCAAAATATTCCATAGTAACTTCAAGCTGTGTAGTTTGACTTATTTCTCCTCGCAAAATAATAGGAGCAGTATTAAAACCGTCACGTGCAGCAGACGCAAAAAAGCGAGGTTCCTCTCCTGCCTAGAATTACCACTGAAAAGAGGCTCGGAATTTTTTTCACGCTGAAATGTATGCCGCACTCGATTTTAATCACGAGTATCCTGGCAAGGTCAAATACTTTCTGACTTTTGAGTTTTATTTTTGAGTTTTATTCCATACTTTTGCGCGATGGGAGCCTCTAAGCATGCTGTTGCGTCGGTGCCTAATTGTATTTTAATTCTGCATCATTACATTAATCTCTCTGCCTCCTCAGACACTGAAAAAAAATTCTCGGCGTTTTTACCAAGGTCCGTTGGTACCTTTACCATCTCACTTTTTTACCAATTATTGGTAATTTTACCAAGACAGACTGGTATGCTTACCTAAAACCGGTACCTATTTTTACTGTTTTTTCCAGGTAAGAATACCACTTTTATTGGTAAACAATTCCCGGTAACTTTGCCATTTTATCTCGGTAATTCTACCACAGTCGATAAAAAATATTGGCGTTTTTACCAAGGTCCAGGAAAATTACCGGGAAAGTTCAATAATTTTACCGAGATATCTCGGTAAAATTACCAATTCCATGAATGTTAATTTTACCAAGAAAAAACTGGGATCAAATATAACCCTGAATTCTTGGTAATTTTACCCTTTTCTTAGTAAATACACCGAGATTTTTTTTTCAGTGGATACCAGACTCTTCAGAAATGGACCGCGTTTAGCAGAAAGGAACCAAGCCACATCAGCTGTTGCAAAATTTTACTGGGCAATTTAATTGTTTACAAGAGAGCTCTTGTGCGGACTCCTTCGAAAATTTTGAGGAATTTCCTTCGTGCTATGCAAACGATTTCACTGAAATTTGCACAAAAATCCACACGACCGTTTTCATGTACAAAATTAAATTGCCCGATTAAATTTTGCAATGGCTGATAAGGCTTAGTTTCTTTCTGCTTGACGCGGTTCAAATGTACGTTACCAAAGGCTTTTATACAGATTGTCCCAGGATTAAATACGAATATTGAAGGAATCGATTCTTTGGGTAAAAAAAAAGACGTTTTTGTAGTATACTTCTTTTTTCCAAAAACACTTTCCCTGGGCGCCACGACTCCCCAAAATTGGAGGGAAAAAATCGTCTTTTTAACACTGCGGCAATGTTTATCAACCAATATTAATGCAAATTGGTAAAGACTGGGAATAATTTTTAGCGTTCTTTTCATTTTTGACCTCCAAAAAAGGTAAAACTCATTTTGAGGGGCGTTTAGAGGAGGGGTGCCGAAACTAAAAGTGGCCAAAGTTAATGTTCCTAGCGACAAAAATTGATTTTTGACGGCACCACAAGATTCAGCGTTGAAAAATATTGAGATAATGTCTCTAACGGTTTTTCGCTATAACTCATCGTTTTTAATATAATAGGGACTAATAGGGAATAATAGGAGCTGAATATAGGGGGATAATGGGGCCCCCACGGAAAGCGTTTTTCGAAAAAAAGTTAAACCACAAAAACGTCTTCTTTTGACCCAAAGAATCGACTCCTCCAATATTCGTATTTAATCCTGGGACACCCTGTAGAAACCAAACCTTGGTCCAAATAACCATACGCGGTTACAGTGGACTCTCGATAATTCGAAAACCTCGTTAATTCGAAGGAAAGTCTGTTTCCCTTGAAAATCTCTCAATAATTCGAAGAAATTCAATGTATTTTTCTCCCCTCGTTATTTCGAAATTTTTAAGCTGGCGCGGCCCTCTATAATTCGAAATTGCGACGAAATTTCTCTCTGTAATTCGAAGTGTGGGAAGTAAATATGGACCTCCCTCTATAATTCGAAATAAGACGGTACATTCCCTCCACAATTCGAAGTGAACTGTTCATGTACCTGGGTGTCTGAAAGAGCTGATATGATTGTCAACATGTAAACAAGTCCCGTGAGTCTCCCCGCGAAAAGCTTGATCAGCTGATTAGTAAGCAGCTGATTAAATATAAATAATTAATAATTAATAATAACTTAGTGTAATTTTTTCTACCGTAAAGAAATAAACTGATATTTTTGGTTATTTTTGGCGTAAATCCGTCCATTTGCCCCTCTATGTTCGAACCTCTCTAATTCGAAATTTCTCCACATGGAATCTCTTTAATTCGAACTCTTTTTATTTCGAAACCTCGCTAATTCGAATAAAAAGCCGATTCCCTTCAATTTCGAATTATCGAGAGTCCGCTGTATAACGAACATTTTATAAATGATGTGTGATAGGGCGTACCATTCGGGTCGGAGGAGGAGACTCGTCTATCATCCGGGGCCACTTCCGGCTGTAAAGGGGGCGGCGGTAGTGGGTTTTGCGCGCGTTCAATATTATCTGTTGAAGAAATAGGGAAATTAAATGGAATGTGCTGCCAACCGTGCTAAAAGCAACCACGTTAGTAACATGAAGCATGGATGTACACGTGGGGATGGACATCGGACAATTGGACATGCATGGTACAACATGGTGGTATCATGGTGCGAACTTTGTAAAAGAGACCATGACACTAACTTGGGACCAAAATGGTGCCAATCCCCACCCCCTCCTCCTAAAATGTAGTATCAATACACGTCCTGAAAATTTATGGTTAAGGTGATTTGACGGTTGCCATTTTTTGTGTCGGAGCAACGTGCGATATATCGCATCAATTCGTTCCATAATTTCGGCTACTTGTCATTTTTTTCGAATTTTGAGATCGCACTTCTGTTGTCATGAGACTAAAGAATTCATGTACTAAATTTGTTGAAGAAATTCAACGTATTAAAGGCAGGGGTTTTTCAGAGGAAAAATATCGCATTCGCGATATTGATATCGAAACTGCACTCGAATGCGATATTTTTCCTCTAAAAAATCCTGCTTTTCTTACTTTGAATTTCTTTGTCAATTTGGCACATAAATACTTTAGTCTCGTGACAACAGAAGTGCGATCTCAAAATTCGAAAAAAATGACAAGGAGCCGAAATTATGAAAAGATTTGGTGCGATGTATCGCACGTCGATCTGACACAAAAAATGGCAACCGACGAATCACCTTAACGACACTACATCAGTATTCGAACATTTTGATATCCAAGTATGCATTGAGGCCAACATGAATACATGTTGGTATCATTTTGATATCGTCGTTGTCATTACATCAATATGGTGACAATACGGTGCTGAGCGCGTTGTTAGAAAGCTCGTTTCAAGTCGGCTAAAGCCATAGTCTGTTAGAAGTCCTAAAACCTAATCTATTTGATTCACAAACTTTGATTCTCGTGACGCCGAATAGAGCGCAAAGATACCAAACTACGGCATACAACGAATTCAACTTCTGAGTACCTTAAATTGCATAACCGTGACAATGAAGGAAAACCGAGTTTCCCTCTTCAAATTCTATTCTTCCAGATAAGATCGTGGTACTAACACAAGAGTGTAACTGAAAACTTGCCTTGGGGATGAGAAGAGGTATACTTTGGATCTAAAAATATTGATCGGTGCAATTTAGTCATCGCCAAATTCAAGGAGGGTTGAAGATTATCATTTTTAAAAGTTCATAAAATGGACTGCATTTTGCAATTTTGAACTAAAAATTCTGGCTCTTCTGGAAAAACACTTATTTGCATAGGGAAACTAATAGCACGTACGTTGTTTTGAAACCGGGCTAGAATTTATAGTTCCAAATGGCAAAATGCAGTCCAAATACCGTTTTAGAAAAATATAATTATACCTGAAAAGGATGACAATATTGGAACAATATTGGCTAAATGCTCCGTTTTACCTGAAATGGTCGTTACCTTTTTAATTATAGTATATAGAGTCAGTGCCAACTAAGTATACACACTTCATTTTTGCACTTTTTTTTCGCATGGGAAGTAAATGTATAAGGAGGTGGATCCTCTGTCGCTGTCTAAAAGTGCACACACTTAGTGAGTTGGCGCGAACTCCATACTACTCATTTTGCCGTGATAGTGAAGAGAGCAGTAAGTGCAACAATGAATTTTTGAGAAAGTAGGCTCAAAAGTGTCTGACCGGAAAATTTCATCGAAAGAAGCCGCCGTTCTTTGTCAATTGCCACCAATCCTCCGAAAGACTCTAAAAATCGCCAAGATGATTAGAAATCGGCCGATTTAATTTCAATTACATGAGTAGGGTATTTTTCATTCACACGTTAGGCTCTGTTAGGCAAGACAGCCGTAAGTGCTATCTTCCACACGAACTTTCGAGGTTGGGTTTTGGACACATGACGAACACATTTTCAGGGTAGATAGAAATTGCCGGAAGAGAGCGGCATTTTACTTGAAAGCACCGTTTTAATCGGCTCTCTGGAGGAATATTGTCACTTAAGATCGTTTTGCCTAAAAATTACGACATTTTTTGCGCACCCTCGGCTTTCTCATACGTCTTTGTTTCATAAAATTAGGATGAATTTCGCCGTTTTAGCTATTTCAGTGATTTCATGTAAAAGAGATCAGACGAATTTTGAAGGAAACTCGATTTCGAATAGTTGACACTTACTCTGCCGTGCTAAGGAAAAACGCCACATGAACATTCGAGAGTTGTCAAATTTCCCTAGATAAAACATGCATTTTTGACGACATTCATGCACGTTTTCCCTTAAAATTTTCAGATATTTTAGATTAAATTGCATGCAAAATTATTTGAAAATTTTGGGGGAAAATATTCACAGTTTTCCTAATAAATTCGGTTTTTATCGAAGGAAACTTAGCAACGTCTGAGGGCTCACACGGCGTTCTTCCTTAGCACGGCAGTACTGATCTCCTCGCAATCACGGCAACATTAGTAAGATGAAAAACGTACTGTGTACAGCTGTTCTAAACAACCAGTCATTTAATGATTCAAAGGTTTCTGGTAATCTTCTTATCGGAGTGCCCGAATCAATGTTTGGGTTTCCGAAGGCTGTCCTGCGTATCCAGCGCATCTTGCGCAGTCCCCGAGGCACTCTGCCTAAAAATAAGAGATTAAAACAATTTTTGTCTCATGAAATAATTAATTAAACATCGTGCGGATAACAGCAATAAATAATGTATAAAGGAGAAGAATGGCCATTAGCTGTGATCAGTTTATTAAGTGCGTTAACACATCGCCGAAGCTTTTCGACCCCGCTATCGGTCATCTTCAGGGTGCAGAATTATACACAAGCATGAAACAAACAATGCGTAAAATATAAAACCAAGCACTAACCACCAAACAACTACATTTTTCAAGCTAAGGCGTGCAGCAGGCAGAAATAAATAAATGTGTAANCACTTATACATTTATTTATTTCTGCCTGCTGCACGCCTTAGCTTGAAAAATGTAGTTGTTTGGTAGTTAGTGCTTGTATTTTATATTTTACGCATTGTTTGTTTCATGCTTGTATATAGTTCTGCTCCCTGAAGATGATCGATTGGGGTCGAAAAGCTTCGGCAATGTGTTAACGCACTTAATAAACTGATCACAGCTAATGGCCATTCTTCTCCTTTATTCATGAAATAATTGTATATTCTGCCGTGCTAACACGGAAAAAACGAGTTTAGGGCTCGTACCTGCGCCGAAGGTCCCAGCCCTAACCGGGTAGGTAAAATTGCTTCACCTCCACGAGCAGGCCCGGCGCGTGTAGAGCCCAAATCTACCTGCTCCAGGGTTCAGCCCTACCTGGTAAGAGCTAGACCCTGTCCAGGTAGGGCTGGGCCTTACCCGCGCAGGGCCTGCCCCTGTGGCGGTGGAGGTGAAGCAATTCTAGGGCCCAGCCCTAATCTCGTTTTTTCAGCGAAGGAAAGACGCCGTATGAGCATTCGAGTGTTGCCAAATTTCCTTCGATAAAATGTTCATTTTTGAGGAAAGTAATGAATATTTTCCCTTGAAATTTTCAGAATCTTTAGGTGAAATTGTGAAATAAATTATCTGAAAAATTGGGAGGAAACTATTCATAAATTTACCAGGAAATTTGCGTTTTACGAAGGGAAATTTGTCAACGCCTGAAGACTCCTACGGCGTTTTTACTTAGCACGGTAGTACTCATATCGACGGTAAAACCCCCAAACCACGTATCTCGTTTGTGGTGGGTCAAAATTTCCGCTCCCTTATTATCTTTAAAGGAGAACAAATCAACATTACTACTTGAAGTTCTCATGGAATTTTCTCCACACAGATGCTGGAATCTCACGCTGAATTTGGCAGCTGAATATGGGAGTCAACAGTCATCGCTTAACAGCTGAAATTTCGTAAAAGCCGACTGCACACACAGTAAATGGGAACCTGCAAGTAGCACGTAGGTGCCGCTGTGTTGAGTGTTGATCACTGCAACCCGCGCAGTTTTGCAGTGATTAATTTATTTATTATACAAAAATGTACGTGTGCAATTGTAATCTAAAATTTGTATAATTTTTGCTTGGAATCTAGAGGAAAATCAGGGAAATCTTCAGTTAGAAATGCCCAAGATTCTCTCGATTAATAGGCGATTTGCGAGGGAAAATTTGGCAACATTGAAATGGACTTACGTTTTTTCGTCCAGGAGACGACGAACTGTTGGTTGTAGTTCTCAATTAACACAGAAAAATCATTCAAGGAAAAGAAAAACGTAAATGCTGCGAGTCTTCGAAAGTAAAACTTCCCACCTCTTACCAGGAGGTTATTTGACAGTTGCAAAGCGTGAATAATCGATTATCGATATTTCCTCATTAGGACCAATGGTAAAGAATCGATTATTAAGTCGTCTATTGGGAACACCCTGTTTCTCAATCTTTTTCCATAGGTTTAAATGACAGATAAATCGATGTATCGCAAAGCATGCCACGCCACTGTTATTAATTGGACTTCATTCTGCAATTTGGAACTATAAATTCTGGATTTTTTGGAAAAACAAGTGTTTTACACATGCATGCATAGGGAAACTAATGGCACATACGTTATTTTTAAACCGGGCTAGAATTCATAGTTCCAAATTGCAAAATGTAGTCTCTTTGAGGGTCTCAACTTGTTTCTCACTTACCAAAACTTATTTCCACAAGCATTGGTGGCCCATTGGCTGCGTCGTTCAAATGGTAAATGACCCATCTGAGTGCGGAGAGTAATGTGACGCGATTGTAGTTTTTTTCCTTTGTGATAAGTTGCAAGACCTGCCTCGGACTCTGAGGTTGTGGGTTGACGGTGACATCAGCACCCCTCCTCAGCTCCACATCAGGCACTTGATAACGCGGGACCGCCTGGACGGTAAAAAGCATTCCATCCGTGGCTAAATCTCCAACTGTAGGTGCCGGAGGTCGTGCAAGGAGTGGTGATCTTGACGAAGGTCTAGGCGGAGACCATCTTTGGCTGCTTCGGCCAGGACCTGCGTTATTGGAAATGGACCACTAGACAAGGTACGAATTTAAGCATTCTGATACATTTTTCTTAACCAGAATTCCACGTAAAACACGAGCTGCGCAACGGAAATCACTGAAACCAACTCCTAACGAAAATATTAAAGTTTTTATTTCACATTGGTTACGAGGAATTTGAACTGCCCGCTCACAAGAAACTCAAAGCTCTATGTGAATCAAATAGTGCACTACAACGGTTTCAGCAAACTTCTCAGTCTACGAGGTCTGTTAGATTAGAAACCGGATTTTGGTCATAACTAGCCCACAATGCGTCCGAATTAGGTTTTCTTGAGCTTTCCTGATAGCTGGAAATGTACTGAAGAACGCTACGTTCACAGATTTTGTTTATTTTGATCAGTGTTTATTCTGTGTCATCTTGAATACGAGTATGTCAGGTGCGTTTTGCGATTTTCATCATGCGATCACTGATAGTGCAAAGATTCAACATTAAATTTTGTTTTAAGCTCGGTATACCTTGTACCGAAACTTTTGGTATATGCTTAGTTAAAATTACCATGATCATTGTATGAGATGTTCCCACTGTTTTGAATGGGTTAAACGATTCAAAACTGGTCAGGAGTTCGTCAAAGATGAGGAGCATGGGAATCGACCCTCAACGGCAACTGACATTTGTCACGTGGAAGAAGTGCGGGCAGAAGTGCTCGAAAATGGTCGTTTCAAGCTTGTTGAACAGAGTAATATTTCTGAAGGCTCTGTACATACAATTTTGATAGAATATGTAGACACGTATCGAGTTTCATGTACACTTGCTCCTTGATTGTTGTCCGTTGAACGAAAATCCAACCAAATGTCAATTTCCCTTTAGCTGCTTGAACGTTCTATCAATGATCCTACATTTTTGGATAGGATAATTTTCGATTACAATACTTTAGTGTACGGCTACGATATGGAGACGAAACTCCAATCGTCCTTGTGGGTTGAAAAATTTAGTACGTGCAAGACCGAAAAAAGAGAGACAAGTTCGGTCAAACATAAAAATCGCAAAACACCCTTGAGGTTGCCTTACTTCAAGCCACATACCAACGAAGCTGATTAGGATTTTTCAAATTTTTGAATGTAGCGTTCTTAAATATATTTTCAGCTATCAGAAAAGCTCAAGAAAACGTAATTTGGCCGCATTGTGGGCTAGTTATGACCAAAATCCGGTTTCTAATCTAACAGACCTCGTAGCAATGTTCATTTTCCACCACGTGTTGCTCAAACTATAAGCAATTTGCTATAACTGAGCCAAAGCGTCAAGATTGAAGTTGCCAGATTTGTATATCGTAGAAACTGTCATGATAACGTTTAGCGCGCGATGTGAATCACGTAGAGCATTGAGTTTTCATGAGTGGGTGGTTTGAATTCACGCATCAAGAATCATTAAATATCTTCGTCAGGAGTTGATTTCGGTAATTTTCGTTGTGTGAATCGTGTTTAACGTGAAATTTTGGCTCAGAAACAGGTATCAATATGCTGAAATTCGTACTTTATCTAGTGGTCCATTGAAACAAATGGACCGCTAGACATAGAATGAAAATGTAGCTCTTACATGTGTCAGAAATCTGCGATTTAATTACTCATTTCTATGAAAAATTTTGCGAGAACACTGGAGCAAAAAGTAGCTTGGATCTGCAGTCCAGACTCTTAACAACATTGACAAGAAAACATTCTCTTGATTCAATCCGATTTTTTCTTGGATCGAAGAGCCGACCCTCTTGATTTAGGCGGTTTTCCTTTTAATTCAAGCAAAAAGTCCGATTGAATCGAGAGTATTTTTTTGTCAATGTTTTTAAGAGTCTGGACTCTAGATCCAAGTGACTTTTTGGCGCGTATACGTAGTATACCGCCTTTGCGATCGTTTCGAACCCTGCTCGATACAATAACCGAGTCCCTTAGTTCCTTACCGAAAAGTGACTACCGCGAACTTCTGAGATTTTCCAAAGCGTGTAAAAAGTTTATTTATCCATCAATAATTATGATTTAAAGTTGTTTCTCATTCTGGCCGGGGCTTTCTAGTTTATGTGCAGTGAATACCAAGAGTCTACGTTACTTGGTTTTTTGAAAAAAAGCCTAAGAATACGCAGCGCTGATTTAAAATATGCATATATAGGCAGAAGCAAGCGAACTGATTCGAGGATGGCTAGGCAGGTCGGCACTCTCGGAATGAGAATTGCACTACTCCGTTTGGTTCAAAACGTTGCTTTGACAGATCTCCACACCTCTGTTATACTTTTCAAAATTTGGTACCCTAGCTCTGATAGCCGGGCACCCGTAAGTGCAATCTGTGATGAGCCTCGAGACTCATTAGACCATTTGCTAAACGTGGCTCATACAGGAAGCTACTTGCAATTAAAACAAGCAGGAAGCTCCAACGCATTCGCGTCGGAAAGCGGCTCTGGCGACGGTAGGTAGTTGTTACGCGTTTACGGTTTCCTTGGTAACCTTTGTTTGCTATCAGCTGATGTCGAGTAGTATGACTAGGAAGCTCCAACCACGGCATTCTTCGAAAAAAGCGCGAAAACTTATAGATTTGAATTTTCAAATTTTAAACGTAAAGTACATTTTTTCCAGTGCGAGATTAAAGCACAGACCCGTTTTGAATTATTGACAGTATCACCATGATTCCAAAAATACACTACACAACATAGCATTCGCTCACAGGAAAAAGATATCAATTAAAATAAAATCAGTCCCCCCTAAACAGCAGAAAATGGCGCCGATTCCCATCAACCAACACGCGGTCTCTCCAATGTAACATGGTCCGTTGATACTCCCCAGCTGGGACCGTCCGGAATAGCTGCTCTAGTGCAAGCACCAGAGCCGCTAAAAATCAACCTGCCCCTCTCGCGCCTGGCCCCCGCGTCGGCGACAATGGCCTGCGGGAAAAAGGCGGCCGCCGCGCGCCGAGAACCCGACCCTACTTATTACGCTTCATTAACCATTTCACCGTCACGCTAGGATTCGTCCAATTTTCAAATAAAATTGTTTCGCGTGTACTTAGCAATTTTTTCCTTACTCTCCGTTAAAACACGAATTAAAAGAGGTCTCATTCATAAAAATCGGCCGAATAGAAGAGAAGTTACAGTATTCGAAATCTGAAGAAATCAACAAAAACTCGAATTCTCCAAACAAAAAATAAAATGAAGGGGAAAAAAAGAAATGTATAAATTATAATTAGATAAAATTGACCTCAGAATTTGACAAGCAATTCCATTATATAACGGAGAAAAAATCGGGAGCAATTATAAAAAATTCGCCTCTTGCAAGGGGCTTCCTTGTAAGAATTTTGACCTGAAGACAAGGGTCGAATAGCAACAGTACTCCATACAATACACAGTGTGCCTCAACGAGTTAAACATGTTTTATATATCCAAATCGAATTTTTTTTATATTTTTAACTACAGTATCTCTTGAGTCGTTTAAGCCAAAAAAAAATGTCCGTCGAGATTCGGGAACGTAAAGGCGCTTTAAAAGTATTCTGGGGCTATAATAGCTATATCACTGGTAGTAAATCCCGTTATATCATTAAAAAGAAATTGACTCCATAGTTTCATGCCTTAGTTTCTTAAATACGATTATTTTAAGCACTCAAACATTTAAACCACCAGTTTTAGCCATGAGGTGATTTCCTGAGAGCCGATAATATCACGAATTTCTCATAGAACCCTTCAAAAATGGCTTGCTTTTTGGGCAGCCGATTCGGCCATCGAATCGGGGTTTAAAGGGAAGCTGATAATGACACAAACCTGCTCTGAGAAAAATTTTGAGATAGACATGGATTCTGTTCAGCATATCGATGCATAAGCATTTTCACACGTAGAATCTAATTTTCACGTCAGGGAGTGGACATATTTTGATTTTTTCGATTTTATACGGAAAATTGATGGTTCCTCGGGATTGAAATATCTTGTAATTGTTTCTTGAAAAATAACCGAACCCAAAATGACTATAGCATATTGACTTTTACATATGTGCAATCACAAAATTGATTCGTAAATTCAACGAGTGGGTACATCGACCTGGTACATCAAGTTTTTGCGATATTTTACGGCTGATCGGTAGATTTTCGGGATGTAGATTTCTTACTTTCAATTCATGAATGAATAAAGCATAGACATAGTTGAACTTCTTTCCATGAAAAGACGTTTAAGGTAACAAAATCAAGACCTATTTAAAGCAATTGCATTTATATCGAGTCAATTTCTTTTCAATAATATAACGGGATTTATACTACCGGTGATTTGGGTATTTTAGCCCCAAAATACCTTTAAATCGACTTTATCTTCTAGGAGTTCGACAGAATTTTTTCGACATCGACAGTATGAATTCTCTTGTTGTGCAACTTGCCTATTTTGAAATCTCTGTAAATGAAAACTAAAGGGGTTGATATGTGCGAGTTAATGACGCGCCTTATCAACACATTGTGTTGGAGTTCACTGCTTGTTTTCCCAGTAAAACACGATGGTGGCAAACTCTCCGTGCGAAGATGTGGAGCAAATACATTAGCAGGGTTGCCGCTTTGTTTGGGGACTCTCAAAATGAAAACAAGGCAACTCTGCTGATGTATTTGCTCCACATATCTTTGCATAAAGAGTTTGTCTTGATATAGAAGTGGACGCTTAAGGTAGCGTGGATATCCGCTCCATTACGGCTTCGACTTTCAGAGCTTTTTTTTAAGCTTTGGAGTCTTCGGAATTTTTAAAAGCGGGCTTATCCGGGATTTTGGCCTCAAAAATACGTAATTAAGGTGATTCGATGGACGCCATATTTTGTGTCAGAACGGCATGCGATATATAGCATCAAGTGGTTCCATTTTTTCAGCTACTCGTCATTTTTCTCCAATTTTGAGATCGCAATTCTGTTGTCAGGAGACTAAAGCACTCACTTACCAATTTTAACAAAGAAATTCAACGTGTGCATCGAGTGCAGTTTCGATATCAGTATCGAATGTGACGTTTT